CGTCACTTGTGTACCTCGTACTTATTCTAAGGCAGTAAGCCCTTGAGGTAGGTTCATTATATTACAATTTAATTAGATTGTACAAATGCTTGGTTTGAATGAATTGTTAACCCTAAAAATACTCAAAGTCCGCAGACGAATATACGTCAGAATTTTGAATCAAGATCAATTGATGAAGAACGAAAGAGATTTGAAACTACATTCTCTTTTTTATTCCACTCTACATTTCATGATGAATTAGCGATTCAATATGTACTATGATCCCCCATTATTAACCGTATAAGGAGTCTACGATCGAATCAGAGCAAAATCTCACGAATCGACTTACAGATAACCAATCAGGTAACCCAGAATCTGAAAAAATATACTCTCTTCATCTGTAGATAGATTCTTACATGTAAAGGTTAAACAGTATACTAATAGTAAAAGAATTTGAAATTGAAAATATAATGTGTAAATAAAAAAGAAAGAAAGACAAAATAATCAAAAAGAACAATCCTGTATGCAGAAAACACGACTAAAATTTCAAACAATTAAAATCAGAAGTTGGAGCCAAGAAACAACAGTGAGGGGAAATGTGTACTAGAGAATAAAAATTATAGTGATATCTATATAAAACGTTTAAAACTAAAAGAATTTAATAAGGAGGAAAATTGGAATAAACGAAAACGAACATTTATAATATATTTATAGTACCAGGTGATCCAAAAGTCAGGACGAACCTTAAAAATAAATAATTCGAAAAAGAATCAAGATACAAATTTACGGTTTGCACCAAAGGGATGGAAAAGAAACCGGATTTTGTGTGGCAACGAAAAATAATAGTCTGTGTTGGGGACCACCAGATGGCGCTGTCGGATTTCTGATGTAGGATTATGCAAACCCAAAACAAACGAATTAATAAAAGGGGGGTCATACTTGGGGTAGCAGGTAATGGTAGTCGAAGCTTGTATGCATCGAAATGCTGTCTACAGTTGAGAAAGCCCTCTTAGTTTAACTGTATTATAATTCGGAAAGTGCCTTTGTGGCATTGCGAGCATATCGCTACATGAAGTGTATGTGAGATACCAAAGGACCAAAAACGTCTTTTACATTGAACAGAATTATGAAGAAATTTGAAGGTATGGATTCTTTGGCGTCCGTAGAAGAAGTTGACGTTCCTCAAAACCGCTGCTGTTGCCACGATAGTGGAGCAGGCGATGCAATTCATGTCGGCGGTTGCTGCACATGGGAAGTGCAGTGATCGAGAAGTTTCGAGGCAGACAGAAGTGTCATACGGAAGTGTCTCCAGAGCATTGCGAATAACTTTGTGACGGTATCCCTACAAGTTGCAACATAAACAAGAACTGAAACCTCCTGACTTTTGGGCTCTAGCCGAGATTTTGCAAATTTGGGTATTCCATAAGATGGAAGAGCAGCACGTCTGCCTACAGACTGTGCTTTGAACAGATGAAGCACATTTCACAATCTGTGGGGCTGTTAAGACCCACAATTGTAGAGTATGGATCACAGAAAATCCACATGCATTTGTTGAGTACCCTTGCAACACCCTAAAGTGACAGTCTGGTGTTGCTTCACTGCTGAGTTCATAATTGGTCTTTTTTTTTTTCCAGAAGTCACACAGATGGGTTTCAAAACAGTTCCTGTCACTGGTCAGCGATATGTAGCACTGTTATAGAACAAAATTATTCCTGAATTGCAAGCGCGACAGGCACTTCAAACAGTCACCTTTATGCAGGATGGAGCACCACCTCATACTGCTCTGCCTAAATAACGTCTGCTATGCTCAACGTTTGGGGAGGATCGTATTATTAGTCGCTACTTTAATCATGCATGGCCTTCAAGCATGGCCGATCTGACACCCTGTGACTGTCGGCTGTGTAGATTCTTGAAGTCAAAAGTGTACCACGACCAACCGACATCACTAGGGGATCACTGAAAGATGTCATCCGCCAAAATGTGACTGCCATAACGCAAGAAATGCTACTAAATGCAGAAGTACAACATTTACTGAAGTACAAATTAACTGCTAAATTAAGCTGACTTGTAATTGTCAACACTTTTTCATTCGTAAATCATATTTTGGTACAATAAAACACTACAGCGCCATCTGTTGGTCGCCAACAGAACTAATGTTTTATTGTCAACAAAACCAGGTTTCTTTTCCATCCTTTTGGTGCAAACCGTATTTTGTTTTTAATTTGCTTTCGAACTATTCATTTTTAAAGTTCGTCCTGACTTTTGGATCACCTGTTGTGTGTGTGTGTGTGTGTGTGTGTGTGTGTGTGTGTGTGTGTGTGTGTGTGTGTGTGTGTGTGTGTGTGTGTGTGTGTGTGTGTGTGTGTGTGTGTGTGTGTGTGTGTGTGTGTGTGTGTGTGTGTGTGTGTGTGTGTGTGTGTGTGTGTGTGTGTGTGTGTGTGTGTGTGTGTGTGTGTGTGTGTGTGTGTGTGTGTGTGTGTGTGTGTGTGTGTGTGTTGTGTGTGTGTGTGTGTGACTTTCACATTTAGTCTGGTATGATTAAATGTGAAACATTTTAAGATTTATATCAACCTGTTTTTCTAGAAAAAGAGCCACCTTGCGGATTAATAAAACATATTTAACGCCAATCTAAGGACAACAATTCGAAGAAATTTATCAAAAAGTTTCCAGTGGTATGCAGTTAATAAGAAATCATCTTAAAAATATCAAATATAAATTATATTTTGAATTAGGTAACAGTCAATACACATACATTTGAAAATAATCTCGCAACTCAAGATTGTACAATTATTTCTTTCGAAATCTAACTATTTCAAGTTGTTCAAAATGATTTTTAAAAGGTTACTTTTCTGGGTGTTTCTTAACTCCTTCTCCCTTAATTTCTTCACGACACATACTAGATACTATATTCTTCATCCTCATATTTGCACCCGTACCTTTATAAGGTTTAGGTAATACATAAGTCATTTTTTTTCCCTCCTGTGTCTAGACGTAAGTGATTCATGCATATATTTTATTTTATCTTGTAAAAATATAGATATTTAGAAGTACCTATCCACCTAAGAAACTCCACAAACTTAAAAACTTCTTTTGCATAGAAATACTTCAATGTAGAATTCTGAGAAAATATTACTTGAGAGTTAATAATGTGAGCATATAAGTTGTTCTACAAAACATTTAATTTATTAAAATTCAAACTAATAAATGGATTAATTTCCACTTAGCCTGCTTTCGTAGAAAGCCTTAATAAATGGAAGATACAATAAAAAAATCAAAATACACTCAGAAATTAAATGCAGAATACCGAGAAACATATTTTATAGCTTCATTTATTTGAAAGTTGTTAATTTTACTAATAGATTTTCCACAAACAATAAAATTAATATCAATGTCTATATTGTTCTCGTTAGTTTGTTGTTTTAAAATATTTTAATTACGAAAATTTAAAAATTTCTTTTCTCAGTTCTTCAATAAATTTTTTTTCTTTTCTTTTCTTTTTTTAGAAATCATCACTAATGAATGCGTATTATCCCTTATATCGGATGTTACTTCGCATGAATAAATTTTGCTTTAGGCTTTGTACATTTCAATGTATTTAGAAGTTCATTTTTACTCTTGAAGTGTTTCATGACTTGTACCAAATGTGCTAGATCAATACATATGATAATTAAAGATAGTATACTAAATAGATTTTATATTTACTCTTCTATATTCCTGCTTTAATGTGCATACCAGAAATGCTGAAAAAAAGTAAAACATAGGTAGCGAGCCTCCAATGGCGTTGGTGGTAGGTTTAGCGAAATGAAGAGTCATCGGCAACTTTTACCTCGTAGCTAGGGATTGCAATATCGAACCAAATGTTCAATACCGGTATTCGATATTTTCTAGGTCTTAATACTAGAATACAGATTTTAATACCGGAAGTAAAAATTTTAGGAAAAGAAACACAGGTTTTTCTTTGTTTTATTTGCCAGTTTTATCAGAGAGTAAATATCACAAAAAAGTAATTATAACTGTGAATGGAGTCCACTTGTACTTCCCTCCATTCTTTTTAATAACTCTTGAACATTTTTTACATTGTGCCACTATATTCTTTTCATCATATAAATAATGATACCAAACCAAAGTATTATCAACTGCTTTTTTGTGTTCTTTAAAGTTTATCTTATTCATTATTATGGGTTATTATTTATTAGTGTATATGTAATGAATCTGAAAATATTTTGAATCCTAAAGTTTGATATGCAAGTACATGTGAATAACAAACTCACCAATTAAAAAAAATATCGAAATATTACGCACTTTCTTAACAACTACAACCTTGTTTTCAAATACGAATATCAGACTACGAATCCTGTGCGTGCGCAGTATCGCTCTGAGTTGTAATAGGATAGTTTTGGCCCACTTCCTTGGATGATTCACATATTTTATCACTTCTCTTAAATGTACGATGCAACTTTATATTCACAGTCTAATTAATTTCGCCCGTTAGAGAGATATAAAAAAACGTATACTATTTTGCTATGTTGGTGATCCCTGAGCATAGAGTGGAGACAATTTAAGAAATTTCCTATAAATACCGAAGAAACGGTATATAAACTTATGAATAACGGTATTACAAAATTGTACAAATGGCTCAAAATACCGGTATTTGGTATCCCGGTAGTCATTTTTAGCCTACTCAAAATATTTTTAAAGAAAAATGCTTTTCATTAAGTGCAGATACTCGGCTTGATTCCTTGAACTGGCACCACAAGGGTTTTAATCCCTTTTTCAATTCCTACTATTAGTTCACACTCTCCCTATGTCTTGTTGAAATTTTCAATCGTTAATAAAAGACATTTATTCATCCACTCAAATTCAAGTACATTTTTTGAAACTTGTAGTGGATGACACATCAAATATTCACATTAATATTCTTCAAATATTAATTCATTAATTCCCTTTAACTTGAGAATAAATTGTAGCAAACTAAAATAATAGTCCAACACCATATGTAAAAAAGGAAAATCGCTCGTTGTGTTCCTGTACTGCAATGGAAAGCGCTTTGGATTTCTAATCCAAAAGTCGTGGGTTCGAATCCCACCTGGAATGGCCTAATTTCTAAGAATGTGATTTAAGTTTACTATACTATTTTAATGGAATAATTAAATAATATATAAAGTAAAGTAATGCATATATAAAGTAAAGACTTCTCCAGAGAATCTGAACTTTTTTTTTTTTTTTTAAAAATTCACATTATTTTCAGAGTTACAACCCATTGAAATAATTACCGGCGTTTTTTTCTGAAAATTTCTCCCCTCAGTTGTCGTAAAACATAGATAAATCCACTATTAATTTATATATTTCAAAAATACTAGTTGAGCCTCTATTTACAGAGGTCTGAGCTATATACAAGTAAAATACTATTATAATAGAAACATTATTCACAAAAGGAGAATATTTTGAAAATGGATCATTCTATGTTCATTTTTTGTCAAAATAGTGTACTTAAATAATTTTCGATTATAATAATATTCTTAAAACAATTTTATCTACCTTTTCTAATCTAATTGACACTAAATATCATAAATATTATCCATTTATACGCTTTTGCAAAATCACGGTTTCGAACGTAGTCAGATATCTTAAATAGTATTTCTGCTTCACTTTAATCGCGGTTCCTTTACAGAAAGTACCTTTACCCCAAAAAGTCACCTTTTTATCAAATCAAGCAATTTGTTGAAAATATTTACCATAGAGGGTTAGTAAAATGCATTTAAAAGAATCGTAACACATGTTATTTTTTCTAAATTTAAATTATTGATTTATATTTTTAACGAGGTCTAAATTCAATAAAACTGTTACTATTCTAAAACATTACACAAAGATGTGTAAAGAAATTCTTTCATTCTAACACCTGTAAAACACTAATGTTTAAATATTCCGTAATAATTTCTCCTTTACACAATGGAATTTATTACAACTTCTTTAAAGCTCTATTTTAATTGATGACAAAGGTATAATGAAGTGCAAATGGCATTCAAATTTATGAACAATTTTTGCATAACATTCAACCGCAATTTAATTGAAATTTAAGCTTTTACTTAAATGAGTTTTATGTAAAGAAGAAAACTGGTGAAAACCTATTCAAATTTTCTTCACAAAAGCATTTAAAAAATTATTAAATGCAATCCCTTTATCTTCCTCATAATTTATTCATTCGCATTACATGAAGTTGTGTAAAACTTCATTCCTCTTTAATCATTTCTCGCTTTTAATTTTAAAATTTAATGAATCTTAAATGCGAAGCAGGTGAGACCATAAACATTCCACAATGATCGAAAGGGGCAGGAGGAAATACTTTGGCTCTTGCATAAGTAATGATAAATGCAAACAATTGAGGTTAAAATAAAAGGGAGTAAATGAGTTCTTTAATTATTCAATATAATACATCTTAAGCGTTTTTGAAAGTAAATTAGATCATAAAAATGATTTGTTTCTACATTATAGTCGAATTTGTTATCATAAAAATTTAATTTCCTTAATAGGATGAGAAGGGAAAAAAATTAATCTTATTAATTTAGTTGCTGGGAAAGGCGTCTCAATTGAATAAGAAAAGATTCGGAATTGCGAGACACAAAGCAAATGTGATTACGTCTTCGTTTATAAAGTTTCTCAGAAGCTTCGAATGTTTTTCTGCAATAAATTGGTTATGAATTCAACAAGTTTTGCTTTGTTATGCTATTTCGCTGTTCTTACAAAGTTTAATTACTGCGTGTGGAATATTTTCAATTTGAATATGCACTTTTAATGAAAAAAACTAATTAAAATATAAATTTTAGAGTTGCAGCTCTATTATTATTCCTTCCCTTAAAATAAGTCTTTGAATTAATTTTTTCATGAGTTCTTATAATGGTAGAATTAGGATAAGGATGTAGAGACGTGTTTTTTTCATTGCTTTTGAGATAGTACCCATTAGATACCAACAAATTAGAATTTAAAGCAGCTTTCACAATTGTCTTTAAATTTAATGTTATATCATATTTTGTTTGTAGAAAATAAGAATAACACCACACAATTCCGTTGTTTTACAATTATGTAATACAGACGACCAAATTCCTCATAATATTATATGGGCTTGGTGGCGAATAGTATTTGCAGCCCCGAAATCCCGGGATTTAATTTTTGTCTAAATTATGCATTGAATTTTTTTTTTCTCGACAAATTTTTTTAAGAATTCAACTCTTAGAAAATTTATTTATATATATGAAATATGTACGTAGAATTTTTTTGTGCAACTATTTTTTATTTTCATATTGATAAATATATTGAAAAACTAATCAAGCGAAACAATTTTGAACTCTAAGTACTATTGAGTGCTAGATTTAAATATTCAGTTTAAAAATAGACTAAATTCACAGACAAGTGACTCCAGGTCGTAAATCACGTGATGCACTGACAACTATTTGCACGTACAACGCATTACCATGGAAATTTCTTATACTTTTTTTGATATTTTGTGTTTTAACTTTATCACTGTATACATACTTAATATTATAATATTTTTTTTATTATTCTAGTATACCTACTAGATAGGAACTACTGCTATTAATTTTTTTTTGTATAAGTTTGTTTTTTATTTTACTTTGTTTGTATTAAATGTGCTGTATAGCTTTATATTTAATCTACTTTATTTGTATTAAGTGTGCATATCCTCTTTTAATTTTTACTTGTGTTTGTTTGTGTACTTATTTAAGGTATCCGACTACTTTCGGAACCGTGATTTTAAAAAAGCGCATAAATGGATAATTTTCACGATATTTAGTGTCACTTAGATTAGAATACATGTATAAAATTGTTTTAGGGACATTTTGACAAAAAAAATTATTTAAATACAATATTTCGGCAAAAAATTAACTTAGAATAACCTTTTTTTTCAAAATGTTCTCCTTTTGTGAAAAGTGCTTCTATCATAATAATATTTTGCCTGTCTATAGCTCAGACCTCTGTACAGAAGCTCAACTATGATTTTTGAAAAATTCACATTATTTTTAGACTTACAATCCATTGAAATAATTATCGGCGTTTTTTTCTTAAAATTTTTCCCCTCTGTTGTCGTAAAACATAGATAAACCCACTTCTAAGTTATATATTTCAAAAATTCTAGTTGAACCTCTGTACAGAGGTCTAAGCTATATACAGGCAAAATATTATTATAATAGAAGCATTTTTCACAAAAGGAGAATATTTTGAAAATGGGTCAGTCTATGTTCATTTTCTGTCAAAATATTGTACTTTTAAGGTATCTGGTTTAACTGGTTTAAAATCATCAATTTCATCAAAAAAATCGAAATTTATTTTTTAGTCCATTTTTGTAGCCTGTTTAATAAGCTATCAAAAAATATCCTACTTTAATTCTGAGTCAATTAGAAAAAAATTTATAGCTGTTTTTGTTTCAGGCAGTAAGCCCAAATCGAAACCGGAAGTTTGAGTTTTCAGTTGATTTTCACCGGCAAAATGAGATTTATATTCATTTAAAATATTTTAACGAATTATTTTAATGTTTAGTAAACTTTATTTCGCTTTATAAATGCTTTAATAGATATATTCTGCTTTAAAATAGGCAACAGTTAACTGATTGCTATGTTTGCTTTGATATAAACGAGTTGCTATCTTTTTATCATTTGTGTTCAAAATTAGATCTCCTTATAACTTTTTTATTAGTACTTTTATATAGAGTTATAGTTATTTTTAATTAAATTAAAGTTCTCATGCCAAAAACAAGACCAATGAGGCAAAATGAAGAGATTTCCAGAGAGCAGAATTTGTTGGAGAAACGTTGAAAGAAAAATCAACGGATCTTCCATATTCAGTTATTAATTCTATTAAAAAGACTTATAAGGAACTTTGCGATCAAAATCTTCTAAGAAAATGTCTTCACGAGAAAGCTCAGAACTGCATTGAAAGTCTTAACAATGTCGTGTGGAGTATAATTCCGAAAGACACCTTTGCTGAGCTGCAAACACTCCTTTAAGGAATTATATCGCAATAATACTTTTTAATTCTGGGTTTGCTAGTCTATTACCTCTACTTTAAAAGTTAGGAATGAAATTATGTTCTGAAATGAAAGAATATTTTTGGTACCATGACAAAACGAGAATTGTTGATTGTACAAGGCATTCTAAACCAGATACGGAAATGTCTCGTAAAAAAAGATAGACCCTTCAAAAATATAGAAGTTTGAAGTATAAGTTCAGGAAGGCAGAACATACAAACTTGGAGAGTTTTAATACCTTCCTAAATCTTTTAAAAGTTTTATTGCAAATATTATTTTATTTATTTTACATTTTCTGAAGAATGTTATTTTTGAACATAATGGTTAACGGTAAGAGTGATATTTCTTAAAGTAAACGAAATATGCTTATGAAATTTTTTGAGTTTGTTCTTTGTATTATAATGAATGCTTTCTGCTAAAACCTAAGGGTAGTTTTTCAATTAAGTTATTTTTTAATGTAGTTTTATCGAAAAAAATTTTTTTCAGAAATATTCTGTTTTTTATGTCGAATACCTGTATTTCATAATTTTATTGTAAGCCTTGAGTTTTTTTTAATAGACAGCATAGTTAAAAGTTAAAGAATTGTATTCCTGCAAACATTTTATTTATTAATGTGAAATATTTCATTTAGAGTTGTTAGCAAGAGAGCAATTTTTTGTAATATTTTGGTACAAATTTCTCAAGATTTTGAAAAAAAATAAGATTTCAAAAAATTCTTCTTGCTGTATTTTCGTAGTTTTGCAACATACTTAATTAAAAAATAACAATTAAATAATTATTTAAGTTATATTTTAGAAAATTGTCTCCGAACCCAGTAGGATACCTTAAATAATTTTTTATTGTAATACTATTCTTAAAATAATTTTGTATACATTTTCTAATCTAAGTGACACTAAATATCATAAATATTATCCATTTATGCGCTTTTGCAAAATCACGGTTCCGAACGTAGTCCGATACCTTAAAGTTCTTAGTATAATTTTTAGGTAACTTATTAACTAGTAGTATACTTACTCTTAATAAATATACTTTAGTATAGTTAATAGTATTATTACTT